AGTGCTTACATGTTACGTAGATTTAACTCCATATAATGATTACATTTACATGTTTTTATTTTTCTCCTTTACTGCATGGCATCTCATCTATTTGCATCTTCTAATAAAAATGATCGTTGAGACGTGGAAGGCCTACTACCAAAAGCAAATTTAAACACACAATAATAGATAGATAGATAGATAGATAGATAGATAGATAGATATAGATAGATAGATAGATAGATTACCGTAAAGCATTTAAAAGTGTGCCACATTTAAGGCTTTGGAAAATATACAAAGTATCCTTAGTAAATTTCCTTAAATGTAGCATGGAACAGTGGAAATACCTAAATCAGATCAAAGGTACTGTCACTTACAATTGTTTGAATATCCGACGAGGAATCTTTCATGGAGACTCCCTGTCACCTCTTCTATTCTGTTTGAATTTAAATAAAACCCCTACTTCGAATGAACTAAACTGTAATAACTATGTATACTAAATAAAAAAAAGAAAGTTTTTAATACATGGATGATATCAAAAACTTTTGTAAATCTTAGTTTTTGTTTTAAAAAAATAAACAGTGGAAAATGTCGTGAAGACATTTCTGATCTTATGTCTCTGGTTTCTTTTTAAATATAACATGCATCATCCATAGACTGATGCAGACACTCTAAACATACCCCGTAAAGAAGGTGGAAGAAGTCTTATTTGGCTAAAATTGTCATACCAGACAACTCTTCTAGAAAATAAAAACCAATGATAAAGCTCTTGAACAGATGAAACAATGCTGACAAGACAAATCTCTGTATGGCCAATATCCAGAATGTGCTAATAAATCTGATGTTGATTAACTCATCAATGGTTGCGAGCATCTGGATTAAAGGCTGAAACGGAAGACGTTATTCTTTCAACTTGGAATTTATAGGCAAAGATCACACATAATAGTGTGGATCCAAAATATAGGTTCTGTGATAAATATCAAGAAACCATAGACCATTTAATCACAGGATTTCTGTATTTGTTCCAAATGAATATAAAAATCGTCAAGATTGATTAGGGAAATAATTGCACTGGACAATGTACAAACACTTTGGAAAAGATGTTAACTGGGTGATGTATGAACATCACCCAGCACTGGTTAGAGAAACAGAAGACATCACAATTCTATGGGATTACGTCATCTTTACAGACAAGAAGATTGAAGCAGATAGGCCAGACATAATTGTCAAAAACCGAAAAGAAAAAATTTGCCTACAAATTGATATGGCTTGCCCAGTAGACTGTAACATATCAACCAAGGAATTTGAAAAACTATCGAAGTAGAAAGACCTGGAAATCGTAATAGAAAAATGTGGAAATTGTAAACAAGAATAGTACCAGTCATAATAGGAGCGCTTGGAATGTTAAAAAAAAGGAGCACAACAACACATTGAAAAAAACCCTGGAAATTCAAGCTTAAGAGAAATACAAAAAATTGTTTTGATACTACAGTACAAGAAGAACTTTTTTCCATGTAGCGCTAGTGATGTTATGGAGATTAGAAAAACAAACCATGTAATGTCGCCATAACGACACACAACTACATGCCTTAGGTCTTCCTACAAACTTTGTAGGTAGTGTGACCATAGCAGAAATCGAAATAATAATAATAATAATAATAATAATAATAATAATAATATAATCTAACCTGGATCTGCGGAAAATATGATGAAACTGTCTACCATATTATCTCAGGATATCTGAAACAAATAAAAAATGAATATACCCATCCACATAACAAGGTAGCGACATATTTGTAGTAGAAGATATAAAAGAAGCACAAAATCGAAACCATTGGGAGATGGTGTGAGCACCAATCAGACACAGTTATCCAAAATAACGATGTAACTATCCTCTGGGACATGCCAATTCAAACTGACAGGGAAATAAATGCCAACAGACCTATATTATCATAAAAGACAATAAATTCAATAAGTGTATGCTTATTGGCATAGCAGTACCATCTGAGAGAAACACCTCCATGAAAATTATAGAGAAATTGTCTAAATACAAGGACCTGGATATCGAGATTAACAGAATGTGGAGAACGAAAGCTAAGACTGTACTAATAGTAATCAGGGCTCTAGGCCTTGTAAGAAAAGGAAGGGACAATTTTACTAACAGTGTCCCAGATTATATCAACATACAAGTTGCCCAGAAGATCACCCTACTAGGAACATCCCATATACGAAGAAAAGGGCTATCAATTAATTGACAATACTCCTAGAGGGCTTAAGAATCATAGTTTAGACCCTTTACAGGATACAAACCAGGAAACATAACATACAGAAATACTACTACTACTAATAATAATAATAATAATAATAATAGCAATAGCAATGCAACTTTTACAAGAAGGAAACTTCAAGAAACTGGTATGAACATCAACCAGACCCATTTACAGGGATACGACCTGTAACATTTTTATGTGGCTTTACAATACATACAGACAGAACAATCAAAGCTAATCGCCCAGACATCAAAGATCAAAGACCACAAAAACCGACTATGTTTTTATATTGACATGGCAGTTACTGCAGAGTGTAATGTGCCTTTGAAGATCTCCAAAAAATCTACCAAAATACAAGGATCTTGTAATTGAAATCTCAAAAATGTAGCACACGAGGACATCAATAATTCCAGTTGTATTTGGGGTTCTTGGAATGATTGGAAAATTTCCCGATACACTCACTGAAGAGATTCCTAGTATCCCATTCCTTAAAAAAATTGCGAAGAGCTTTATCTATGTAAAATTTGTGTAATCTTAGTTTGTGTTTTTTTTTTATTGTCGTTTTTTGTTTTTATTGTCGTTTTTTGTTTTTTGTTTTTTTTACCTGTGGAAAATATCATGAAACCATTCCTGACCTTAGGTCTTCGCTTGGGACAAGGAAAGAAATGTGTATACAACAGAAATCAAAACAAATAATAATAATAACAATAATAATAATAAAATAATAATGATGAATGTAGATGGTATACTCTTATCAAACTGGGTGTCATGTTGAGCATATTGGGATTTGAATATTTAAGCCGAATATCATTTTGTTGGCATAAGGCTCTCTCACTCAATAATAATAATAATAATAATAATAGTCTCTTTCGTGTAATAGGAGAGTGGACACCAAAAAAACTTAAAAGATTGAAAATTATCAGAATCTGGTTGGGGAGTTGAAATAACTATGAAAAATGATGTTAAAGTAATTCCTGTGTTAATGGACACACTTGTAAAACAGGAGTGCTTAGGGAATATTAGAATTGAGACTGAGATTGCAAATCTCCAGAAAACTGAAATCCTTTAGTCTGCGAGGATTTTCCGAGAAGTTCTTGAGTTATGGAGAGTCTTGTTGACAACTTTGACACAAGAAAAGAATTTCCACTGAATATATAAATGTGCGACACTAATATCTGATCACGTCACCATTGAGCTATCACGTTTTGCGTCGGGCATTTATCTGGTTTAATCATTTTAATCTTGAATGACTTTGCCGATTTTGCTGGTTTTATCATTAATATCTAATTTTACAAAAAAAGCCCCCTCAAAATAAACAGTTCTACAGAACAGTACTGAGCAGAATTACTTCATTATTAAATTATCATTATTTGTATAATCAAATTAGATTAAATTTCTTAACCCTATACGCATTCAGGGCACTTTCAATTATCTGAAAACAGCTTTTGTTGTTAATCAAGTAGTGAATATTATATTACTTCTCTACACTTCTCTTTAGTCCTCTTTCGCTTTTGTTGGAATATAAGTCGTGGTGTTGTTAGTAGCGTTTGAGATTGTTATAAGTCATCGTTACTGTTTTCCTTTCATACGCAAAATATTCACTTACTTCTTCTGATGTGTCTTGGTATTAAGTAAGATAATTTGGTTGTCTATTCATACTGTGGATTAAGTTGGAATTTCACCAGGTGACCAATGGTTGTGGCCTTGTATCCAACTAAGCATGTGTGAATAAGCTAAAAATAATAAATAAATATATGCCTTGATATGGGGTAATGGTTAACGAGCTATTCTCGTTGACCATTACTACTAACGACTGAGTTCGATTAAGTCTAAATTTCTGAGGTAGGAGTTATACTTAAATTAGTTTATTGACCATTTTCTTTTTTTGTTAGTGAAAATTGCATAAAAAGAAAAAAGACCGCTTTTATCCACGAATTTTAAATCTGAAAAAAAAAAAACTTTTAAAATCGCTAGGCCTAAACGTTATGGAATTAGCAAAAACAATTAATAGGATTAATCACCTGAACAATTCTTGGAATTCAGTTAAATTGAGATAAGGTTTCATCTGATTACTTTAATAGACTAGCCTACGAATTTTGTAAACTATAATACACTATATTTGTTTATTCAGTCTTAGATACAATATAAGGTAGAAAACATAGTTTGTTTTTATTTTTGATATCCATGATAACATTTAACGGATGTGTTCTTTGAAAATGTTTATCTTCAGAGCCAGATACACCATCCTCGGCTAAAATCTTTGAGTGAAAAATTCATTCAGCGCAATAGTTCATTCAGAGGCTTAATCAGAACTAGTTCAGTAATAGATATCATCTCTGATTCATTAAAAGTCTTCATTAACACTAGTTAATTCAGAGGCAATATCAACACTAATTAATTCAGAGGTATAATCATCTTTATTTCATTCATATGCATAATCATAACCAGTTCAGTAAGATACATTATCGTCAAGGGATTATTCAGAGGTATCTTCACTAGTTCATTAAAAATTAACATTAGCAATAGTTAATTCAGAGGAAACATCAACCCTGGTTTATTCAACGGCATCATCAGCACTAGGTCATTCAAAGGCATCATTAAACTAGTTCATTTAAAGGCATCATTAACACTTGTTCATTTAAAGGCATCATCAGCACTATTTCACTCAGAGGTGTCAATATAACTATTTTATTCAATTCCTTCAGAGGCATCATCAACTATAGCTAATTCAGTGGCACCATCAAGATTATTATGTTCAATGGCATCATCATTAGTTCATTCAGAGACATCATAGGCAATAGTTCATTCAGAGGCACCATCAGCACTAGGTCATTCAGAGACATCATCAACACTAGGTCATTCACAGGCATCATCAGCACTAGGTCATTCAGAAGCATTATCAGCACTAGGTCATTCAGAGACATCATCATCAACACTAGGTCATTCAGAGGCATGATCAGCACTAGGTCACTCAGAGACATCATCAAAACTAAGACATTCACGGGCATCATCAGCACTAAGTCATTCAGAGGCATCATCAACACAAGGTCATTCACAGGCATCATCAACACTAGGCCATTCACAGGCATCATCAACACTAGATCATTCTGAAGCATTATCAGCACTAGGCCATTCAGAGGCATTATCAGCACTAAGCCATCCATAGGCATCTTCACCACTAGGTTATTCAGAAACATCATCAACACAAGGTCATTCACAGGCATCATCATCACAAGGTCATTCACAGGCATCATCAACACTAGGCCATTCACAGGCATCATAAATCACTAGATCATTCTGAGGCATTATCAACTCTATGTCATTCACAGGCATTACCAGCACTAGGTCATTCACAGTCATTATCAGAACTAGGTCATTCAGAAATATCATCAACACTAGGTCATTCAGAGATATCATCAACAAATTTTGACTCAGAAGCTCAGGCAGAAGGATTAAAATAGTTTAGGAACGCAGGGCTTAAAGTGTTGACCATTGTAATATTTTACTGGAATTTCTTTCACCTTAAGTTTTAGTTCTTTTTACACTTAACGTCTATGATATAACCTCTTCTGAATTCCTTGGGCGAAACATTGTTCCATCCTGAGTATGACGATAAACTACTTCTGCGTCCTGGGTAAGACGATAAACTACAGAAGGTTTTAAGGAGTGTGGAACCACTTCTTAATTGCTGGTGTTCCTAGGTCTACCCTGACCTGGGGTTGTAGCACCTGTTAGGGTCCCACCTATGGGCAAATAGTTAACCCCCAAACTGGGGTCAAAATACTATGAAAGCATAAAAATATCATCAACACTAGGTCATTCAGAGATATCATCAACAAATTTTGACTCAGAAGCTCAGGCAGAAGGATTAAAATGAGTCTATCCTATCTATATTATTATTATTATTATTATTATTATTATTTCCGGTATTATTATAAAATGAATTCGTGTCTTAAAGTACCAGTAACGTTCGTGAGTACCAGTTAATCAATAGTCACTGCAGTGATTTTTTCAACTTAAGCAATGCAGTGATGCAACTAGTGCACTGGGGTTACAAGGTGTGAAAGTGAAAGAGAACGAGAAGACTAAGAATAGAGACACTTGAGAAAACGACAAAAGATGAACGGGATTCAAAAACAGGGAAAATTGCGATTGACGTTGCATTTAAATTTTTGAAGATTGTAGTTATTAGGAAAGCATGAAATCGGTAAGGAGTATCACAAGTGGAAAGTACAAAAAAAAATATAAACTATTGGAGTAGAGTTGGCGGTTGCTAGATATTTTAGCAGCCTAAGAGTGGGACCTAGTTGCCAATCTAGTCGCACGGTTAAATTCATGTCGTCGTGGCACCAGGAGAAAAAGCTTGTCAGAAGCCATGAAAATATTTGTAGAAAAGACAGGAGGAAGCAATGTCACGCCGATGAGAAAGTGACTGAAGTCGAGATGCCAAGTCAGAATTCTTCTTTGGATTTTGTTAAGAATCTTGAGATGTACAGCAGGAGCACCAGACAAGATATGGCAACAGTATTTAATGCATGGATACTTTCTTCATGTTCAGCTTGCTTTTTATATTCCGGAAATCATTCTGTTAAATATATGACCTGTGATATTTTCCATTTTACAGATAGGTTGGTTTAAATGCAATAAAGCTTTTTCCCTACTGAAATGAAACGTGGTTTATATTATCAAATACAGTAGTTCTTGTTAACGCAAGCATATGAAAGCAATTTAATGGTTAAAAAAATTATTAAAATATTCTAAAGTGATTTTGTCGTGATGAATTCCTTCTTCTGATACAAGCCACTTCAGAATTTAGCACCCCCTATCCAGCTTCACTTTGTTTTAATATCCGTAAATCGTTAGAAACAAAGAAAAGAGCACTGGCAGATGAAGAGACTTGAAGCAACAGAAATGTGGTTCTACGTAAGGATGCTTAGGATATCATAAACTAAACATTTGAGCAACTACAAGGTTTTACAGAAAATAGGAACAAAAAGGAAACATAACATCAGTAAGAGACAATGGTGGAAAGGGGGTTTGGAAAATCTGATCCTCACAGGATAGATTGAGAGAAAGATTTAGTAATGCTATAAGGGCACTTATACTTAACATCAGAAAGAGTCAGTTGAAATTTCTAGAGTATATAATGAGGAAATAGGGCTTGGAAAATTTGATACTCACAGGAGAGATTGAAGGCAAGAGGAACAGAGGAAAACAGGCATAACATACTTGATGGGCTTCAGTAAATAAATGGCTGAGCAAGGTTTAGGAGGAATAGGAAAAAGACATTTATTATGAGCTACATATGACAGGAAGTTGTGGAGGGACATGATCGCCTACGTCCTCAAGACAAACATATAGAAAAAGAAATTGTACAATGTCATAATTGTTGTTTGGTATTTTAATAAAGTTATATCCCGTTTACTTTTCCATGTTTTGGATTTAGAATTCTTCTTATCTTCAAGGTCCAAATAAAAATACTTGAACGCATAAACCAGGTTGCGAGCGGCCTCAGAATAAAAAAATATCTGTCAGTATATACGGTTTTGTGGGTAACTGTGGTATAACATATGACATCCATGACACAGATTTGAGTAAATGTGGCAACATGTATGTCAACACGGATTGTTGGAAATTACTGCATCTAACGGCATATAAGACGCACAAGTGTATAAGACGCACCCCAATTACAGCAGGGTAAATCAAGAAAAAAATAGTAATTAGTAAAATTAGTAAACCTATATATGGGAAAAAGCAAGGAAATGTAAAAAGATATTTTAGTAAAAAAAAAAAAAATATGCGCCTTATATGCCGTCAAATACAGTACTTATTTGCTACATAGCTACAGATACATGTGTCTTTAGACATTTACGCTACAACACTGTCGTTTCCAGTGGTGGGACGATAATGTCACATAGGGGGCTGAAAGGTAGACTGCAGTGATCCGTAAGTGAATCAGTTTCTCCGAGTGTGACAGAGATCATGGAAAACATACCTTCCAAAGTATATTCACCATGTCCAGACTCGTTCTGCTCGTATTTCTGCATCAGGAATATGATAATGTTGTTTCGGTAGAACAAAAGCCTCCCAAAAGATTGCTGTGCCAATCAACCTATTCTTCTTTGGTATTCTCAGCATTATTCTGTTAGATCATTGGTGCTTCAATTATGTTCATCTGCAAAGAAATTGTCCAACATTATCTATTATATTCCAGCATTATTTTCGGTTTCTAAAGAAAATTTCTTATTTCTTAATACTTTGTTTAACTTTTGAGGGTTGGATCTTTTGCAAATTCAGTCTGACTTTGGATTTCGTTGTCACATTTTCTTGTTGTCTATTATGATACTTTTCTGATATTTAAACTACTGTACTTGCTCAATTATGGCGTTTCCAATTCATAGTTTTCATCTTGGTTTGTCTTTCATACTTTCTGATTTCTTACAGTTGATACTTAATCCCCTTCTCTCTCGTTTTCCTTTACTTCCTTGAGTGAACTTTGACATCCAAACGTATCACCTGATTCAAATTTGGAGAAAATATTGCATTTGTCAAATACAGGATATTACTTTCCTCCCAGACCATGTAGTAAAACTAAAACAAACCTAGAAAAATAACAACTTTGCTAGAAAAGTAAACGACGAACCTGATGAATATTAAGAATACTGCGTACTTATTATATGAGTACTTCGAATAAACATGAAGAGAATTGCAAAAAAAAAAAATTACAAACCTGAGCAAGCCAAAGAGAGCCGACGCTATCGGCGAAACGCGTTGTTAATAAAATTTCCACTTTATCTCATAATCTTCAAACTGAAATCTGAATAAGTAATTAAATCATCCAAACTAAGCTAAATAAGTATTGTGGAGACTTGCTGTCACTTATTCACCAGTAAGTACTACCTGGTGCGTAAATAGTACACTAAGGACTGAAAGTGAAGAAACAATAATCCTTACGCCAATAATTTTTATACTCTGTCTTATCTACTGTATACTTAACAACGAAAAAGCTGGTCCTACTAGCATCCAGGCGGACAAATCTCTACCCCCAAACGTAGTAACCGCTGTCTGAAAATTCGTGGCCAAGTCTAAAATTTGCCAAAATGCCTTTGTGGTTACCGTGGGAAAATAGCATAGCGGACATTCTCAAAACATCTTTAGAAGCATCAGGGAGCTAATATCGTCAAAAAAAAAAGCAGTCATTTGCCTTGAAAACGTAAGATATATGATAAACAGGAGCGGGAGGCAAATATGAATTACGCGAAAAGAGGAGAGTGAACGTCATCAGCAGTCTATACCAGCAAACAACTGACTCTGATCTTCCACCCTTCAGGCAAGTGGCCCTTGGCATCCTTAGATCCCCTCGTCATTCAGGCTATCTGAAGCCCTCCACCTACCCAACTAACTTCTGCTTACCCTCCCCCACATGCTTAATCCTCCTTATCTATGAGTTCAGTGACAAGGAAAATAGGTGGGGAACTGAACATATGAGTAAGGGATGCAATGGATGAGTGTCATAGCCAGATATACAGATGTCTGAAGAAAGGGAACACAGAAGACAAGTTAGTATGCAGGACAGATCGTCACGAACTGATTTACTAAGAAACTGAAACCAAATTTCCAAGGTTTCTGTGGTGGGAAGGTTTTTTGTCTTAAACTCAACAGTAGAAGCGTAGATAAATATGGCATCACAAGACCTGGTCAATGTTTGTTTTACATAATACAGAGGCTTCAATTTTCCGAAAAGCAGTAGCCATAATATTACATTCCACCTGAATATGTATCAATGAATATTAATATATAATTACAAAAAAAATCACTGCTATATAATTTCAAAAAAAAATGCGAATAGATTTCGGATTATTTATAAATTATATTCCTAATGGTAATATTATCCGCTTCTTTGACCTAGCAACCAGTGCTACTTTTAGTTAAAACTTATAAAAGTATTTCTTTTAAAATAATTTTTAGGGAAAAAATGTTTCTCAGGACGAGTAGCTGTTAATGCTCTTTCCACTATTGATGAGGGTTTCCTTTCTTGGCTTTTGTTTGAAGTAGTGTGGAATGTCAACATCTTGATTATGTCATTATTTTCTCTTCTCAATCCCAGTAGCTGTTATCACTCTTTCCAGTATTGATGGGAGTTTCCAACCTTCTGTTTTGATGGGTCAACATCTTGATTTTCCTTCTCAAGCCCAGTAACCTTCTGTTTGATGGAAGTTTACTTCCTAACCTTTTATTTGAAGTAGTGGAAATGTCAACATCTTGATTATGTCATTATTTTCTCTTCTCAAGCCCAGTAGCTGTTATCACTCTTTCCAGTATTGATGGGGTTTTACTTCCTAACCTTTTATTTGAAGTAGTGTGGAATGTCAACATCTTGATTATGTCATTATTTTCTCTTCTCAAGCCCAGTAGCTGTTATCACTCTTTCCAGTATTGATGGGGTTTCCTTCCTAACCTTTTATTTGAAGTAGTGTGGAATGTCAACATCTTGATTATGTCATTATTTTCTCTTCTCAAGCCCAGTAGCTGTTATCACTCTTTCCAGTATTGATGGGAGTTTCCTTCCTAACCTTTTGTTTGAAGTAGTGTGGAACGTCAACATCTTGATTATGTCATTATTTTCTCTTCTCAATCCCAGTAGCTGTTATCACTCTTTCCAGTTATGGGAGTTTCCTTCTAACCTTTTGTTTGAGTATTGGAATGTCAACATCTTGATTATGTTTATTTTCTCTTCTCAAGCCCAGTAACCTTTTGTTTGATGGGAGTTTCCTTCCTAACCTTTTGTTTGAAGTAATGTCGTCAACATCTTGATTATGTCATTATTTTCTCTTCTCAAGCCCAGTAGCTGTTATCACTCTTTCCAGTATTGATGGGAGTTTTCTTCCTAACCTTTTGTTTGAAGTAGTGTGGAATGTCAACATCTTGATTATGTCATTATTTTCTCTTCTCAAGCCCAGTAGCTGTTATCACTCTTTCCAGTATTGATGGGAGTTTCCTTCCTAACCTTTTGTTTGAAGTAGTGTGGAATGTCAACATCTTGATTATGTCATTATTTTCTCTTCTCAATCCCAGTAGCTGTTATCACTCTTTCCAGTATTGATACATACACTGTTCACTTGAAGGCATTTTAATCATTGAACTGAGAAAGCGGTTTTTCATGATATCCATATGAAAGTTTTCGATCTCACGCGACTATTTATGAACATAACTTAATTTTAGGTCAATTTTCTGATGTAGCAATTTAAGGTATTGCATGAAACTACTTCTAGCACAGCATATTACATATTCAATTTCCTTATCTTCTATACTAAATTTGTTATAACTGACCCATAAAAGAAAGTATTTAGCAAAATTCAAACGAAATTTTAGTGGGTATAGGTTTCTGTATCATGGACGAATTTTGCTGTTAGTTAAACCTACATCTGTTAAATTACTTTGAAAATCTCATATCTGTTCTAAAGATATTTAAGGCAATACACAGTACAGAGGAAAACTTATTAATATACAACCTTCTGTGCTCATAATTAAATTTGATTACACCTAAAAGAATTGCATAAGCGATCGGAAAGAAAGAAAGAAAGAAAGAAAGAAAGAAAGAAAGAAAGAAAGAAAGAAAGAAAGAAAGAAAAAGAAGTGAGTAAAATCGCCCTATTCACACTCCTTCTCAGTGTTTTTAACAGGAATAGAGGCTTATACCTTTTTCCTGTTTAGAATTGGATATCCGGTTCCTCCACCTAAAGTTTTCACATGTTCTTTCATTCCCAGTAATCCTTTGTGTCTTAGTGGCATTGTCGCCTAACTTGGGGTGAAATTATTAAAAAAATAAATAAATAAATAAAATTCTGTGGGCAACAACTGGAAAATATTCGAAAAGTGACTTTGTAAGTAACATCATCTACGTTCATATCAACAGCAGAGAGATGTCACCAGGAAGGATGTTGAATTGGTTCGTATCGTAAATTATGTTTCGCGATTTTTCGGAATGCGGAATGATGAATTCTCTTCCCAGAAAATTTTTGAGACATTTTTGAAAATGATGTATTCAATGATTCCAAGAAGTATATTTACATTGCTCAAAAGCAGGAAATGATTTCAATACTATGAACTTCCTTATGGCTCAGAATGTCTCTGTTTCTAAAAACATATGGTACCAACTGATATAATTGTTTGCTCAGCGAATTGAACTTCTTAAACTGAAAGTAAATCCATTCTTGACATTTATCATGGCTCAGAAATGCTGTTTCCAGAGCATCTTTTGATATACTGTACCGGGACAGCTCAACTGATACCAGGTGATATTATCTTTTTGCTCAGCGGATTGAACTTCTTAAACTGGAGGTAAATCCATTACTAAAACCTTTATCATCTCATAATTCCTTTCTACAGATGTTTTGGTGAACTGGAAAATGACGCCTCCAGAAATTCCTGGAGATATACTTCTCTTACTCAACGGATCGTAGGTCTTCAGTTGAAAGCAATTTCAGTACTGCGATATTCTTTATGAAAAGAAAAGTCTTAATGTACAGAACATATTAAGACGTTCTGGATGCTTCCAAGTGAATTTAGAAGATATTATTTTTTTGTCAACGAATGGGACATCTCAAAACTAAAAGCAATTACAGTTATGCGGCTTCCCATAAGATTATAGGCGAGCTGGTCTAAGAGACCACCGTTAATTGGTACATGACGTCTCCAATAATTCTAGATTGTATTCTTTCTTTACTCAACGGATGGAAAATTTTAAATTGAAATCAATTCTACTTCTTTGGATTTCTTCATAACTGAAAGAGTATAATTTTCTAAAAGATTTTTAAGCGTGCCGGGCCATGACGAATTTAATGATTTCAATGGCTTACCCTGCAGGTGGAACATCTTAAATTGAAAGCAATTACAATAATGTGACCTTCCTTATAATTTAGTGATCCTCTGTTTTCAGGACAACTTTAGGGGAGCTAGATTATAAGACATCTATTTACCTCTGTGGATATTGCTGTATTACTGCAACATGATACTCCCAATTATTGCAGGTCATATTATTCTCTTGCTCAAAGGTTGTACAATCTTATTTAATATTGTTTTTTCCGGTTGCTTCTAAAACCTTTTTCAAATTTAAACTTCTGACGTCTCCGCCTAAACTCTGAAACTTTATTTACTATTTATTTGTTATCTATTTTATCTGAATAGGTGCAGATAGATTCATCTATCGTCCGGTTCACACACCAACCTGGTCTTTTGAAAAGAAGTAGGTAGCTCCTTACGTCTTAGTAGCTTTATTGTCTTGTTTGGGGCGAATTGATTAAAAAAATGCAATGTAGCTCTCCTCAGGTAAACAAGAGTTTCTGTTTCCAGATTATTTACAGATCTTATACCTCCAGTGAGTACAAGAGCATGATGGGGTAATAAATAGATAGCGGATTGGACTGAGTAATCGAAGAGCCGAGTTCGAATTCCTGTCAATTCCATTACATTCACTTACGTGCTAAAACCTTTGGGAAAGGCATGAATCCTCTTCTTCACCCCTCAGCTATGTGTAAATAGCAGGACTGACCGGGTTCTATAGCCTTGTATGGCAACTAGTCTACCGCAGAAAGAAATGGCAACCTACTGCGGGAAAAAGATCTGCCTCGTTAGACATGTATCGAAAGATACATGATCACCTAAGCGGTTATCACATATGGCACATAACTGACTGATCTCCAGTGATACTAGGGCATTTCTCAACGAATGGAACGTTTTAGATTGCACTGTCACCTTCCACGTGTTTTAAAGAGTTTCTGATTCCAGAACTTTTTTTTAAGCAAGCTGGATCACGAGGCCTCCAACTACGTTAGTGGATATTCTATTTTTACTCACAGACTCGACTCCAGTGAGTCGGTGACTCATAATCTTGTCTTCTACGGATGGAACGTCGGAAACGGAAGAAAAAAAAAGATTTTCACCTTTCTCACGGCTGTTTTCACATATTTTTAGTTAAATACGTTCAGCGAAAAGCAATCCCAGTACTGTGTCTTTCTTCATGGTTCAGTGATTCTCTACTTCCAGAATAGTTCTATGTGATCTGAACCATGACGCCTTCAATAACTTCAGGTGATATTCTTGCCTTTCGCAACCAATGGAACGTCTTAGACAAAAAGCAATTCAAGTGGTGCAGCCTTACTCGTCACTAAAAGAGTCATCTTCCGCATCTTTCTCCAGTCTGGACTTTGGCAATTCTTATTGCGTAATAGCTTCTTGAAAGTTTTAGTATTTCAAATCGCATGGCCTCCACATATTTTTAAAGTTCTAATTTTTTTTTTTTGTTTTTTTTTTTTAGATATTTTCTTCATGTCCGACATCTTGAAATTTTTCGGACTGACCAACAAGCCCTGAAAAGCTTTTGTTTTATTATTCCTTCAAATTTTAGCAAGTAAATTGGGCCAAGAATTTTTCTGAATTTCCACGTATTAACAGCAAAAACAAATGTGCATTTTTCCTTTATGTATATC